CAAGGAAAATTTAAAATCTTTCATAGCTTGGGTCAGAGGACTAAAAGACTACCTAGCAATATAACTGGAAGTCCTTTTCTACCTTGCCACATATAGAAATAACCATTTCAGAGACTGTATGATGACCCTGTAGTGGTTTCCCTAGATAAGATAGTCTGTAGTCATCTTACTTTGATGTGTGATTTTTAAATTTTCCTTGCCCCTTTTCCAAACTACTGTACATATGTTCTTTTTATAAATTTGTATTTTTGTGTATTGCTCAGTCATGGATATATAGTTGAAGGACAAAACGTAAATAGTCATATAAAATAAAATAACTCCTTTAAGTAGGGTACATTGAATAATATCTGTCAATTGTCAATATCTGTCAATCTGGTGTCTATGTGATCAGGAGAAGATTTCTAGGTGAAATAAATCTATATGTTTTGTGTAAAGCTGATCCCATGCAGAGGAATGCAGTCAAATTATAATGGTGACAAAGTGCCGGAAAAGGGAGGGGAACTGAAGAGTAAGAATAATTGAGCCACAGGCAGTGGGGAAAGAGCTGGGAATACTGGTTTGGCCAGGCCTCAGGGCCAGGTTACACATTCTCCCATGCATTAACAGCCACAAGAGATCTTTGTTTAAAGGGGGATTTTCCTCCCTCTTCTGGGCACTTTGTCATTTTTGAAACAATAGTAGTGCTTGGGAAAAGAGGTAAGAAGGATAACTGTAATTCTTCTACAGTGTCATTTAGTGGTCTTTCATGTGTCACAGTTACAAATGTGATCTTAACTGAATTCACAAATAAATCCTTAGTCATTAGAATATCCCAACATCCTTTAGTAAACAACAATAAACAATAATAATAAGCTATTCAATTATTATCTGATTTAACAAAACACACTTATTAGGGATTAAGCCCAATTGAACGTAGGATATGAATACAGACTTGCCACTTATTTTATGTCGAACAAATTTTCAACACAGTGGAAAAGGCTTCATTGTTAAACAGGTTGGAGATGACATAAAGAAAATTTCTCAAGACCATGAAAATTAACATACAACTTTCACTCTTTTGAATTGGCATGTTTAAAAAATTACGTTATAAAATAAGTATGATTTTAGTTGTCCTAAGATTTACCACCCAGCAAGCAAATTTAATGTCCCTTTAATTCTAACATAGCCTATTGAGACACAAAAAGAAAACTATTTAAAAGCACCACTTTTTGTGTGTGTTTCTATTGTTTTAAATGTATTATTCATGATTTTTGAGGTCTGTCCAGTGATGCATGAAAAGAGCTTTTTCTTTGTTATCCCTCACAGCTAATGGGAAGTTAGAGATCTTCAATTCAGCGTCATGTTTGACGGATGGAAAATCTCCAATTGCAGTCTTTTTGTTTGTTTATTTGGCAGCAGAGCCTAGTTCATGTTTCCACTCCTACTTGTTTACTTATTTACATACTTCTATTACTATTTCTGTGATTGTATAGAGCAGGACTAGTTCTAGTATTGAATTTCTAGTATAATAAAGAACGAAAAATGTCACAGAAAACTGCTATGCATCTCTCTGTTTTAAAGTAACTCTGTAATGGACAAGGATAGATGCCTTTAGCATGAATTTTGTTGAGCTACAAGTGCCTTGCATTTTGTGCTGTACTTTGTAATGGCCTTGGGAAGCAAACCTTACTTAAGGTAGTGGCCTTGAAAAAGAAAGTATTAGCCATTGTTATTCACTATTGTAACTTTATTTGAAAGCGTAAAGCTAGACCATGAGTATTTAATGGAAAGTAGATTTTTGTATGAAAATTTGTACAAAAATGTTGGATGCAGATGTGAAGAATTGGTCTAGATTAATACTGCTTTTGCTTGGCTTACCATAAAGATTCTAAAGTTACATGTAATGATATGGACTCCCTTCCCTTCAGACTTACTCTATTATTATGGGAAATCTGAAAATTTTGGTTGAATTCCTGGAAGAAAATATTTTGAATGATAGTGAAAAATATGTACAAGGAAAGCCTGGAATGTCAACATAATTGTCGGTGGACCCACATATGCCATTAATTGAGCTGTCAGCGTTCCAAATACCATGTAGAATCAAATCAGAATCGAAGGCAAAACTATGCTTAAAGGTCCAATTTAATAAAGAAGGCATGTTGGCACGTAGCTGTGGGATCCCAACTCTGGAAGTTACATCAGAATCCCACCCAGTTAAAAGTTCATGATCTTGTCCCCAAACCCACAGTCCACATCACATGGTCCAATCTCCTCCTTCCACGTTGGTGTCCATGCCCAGCTTCTTCCGGTCAGGTGTACTGGTGTGGAGACAAAGGATAATGATACCCCTGACGACAACAGGTATTGGGAGGA